GCTTTAATCCCTCCACCCAACCCATACAGCCCCTTCCTACCCCAGGGCTCCAGGTATGTGGGTCACCCTGGGTGGAGGTGGCCCATGCAGCCCAGGGAGGGCTCCCTGTAGGTGGGGGGCTCCAGCAAGGATCTCCCATCACTCCATCAAGGAGAGCATGCCCCCACTGCCCTTGCATCGCCCCGCTGCTCACTGGAGCAGGCAGAGCAGTACCTCTGGGTGCCAGCAGCCAGGGCTCCCGCAGCAGCCCACCCCCCACGCCATGGCAGGGTCACATGGCCCCAGCCTCCCCTCCCAGCCCCGGTACATGTGTTTCCAATGTAGCTGGGAGCTCCAGGGAGTCGGCGTGCTCAGAAAGCAGCACCAAATTCCTTTCCGATCGAGTAATGGGCCCCAGCAGCCTTCGCGGGGCCGGGCAGGGGGAGGGGATGGTCGGACCCTCCAGGACCGGGCTGGAGCAGGGGGAATCCCAGACTAAACACAGAGATCCTGGCTGGGCAAGAGCACGGCATCCCCCGGCACTGGCCCAGGACCAGGCTCTGGCGCGGTGTCCTCCCAGACCCTGGCTCAGTGAGGCTGGGCCCCCACTCCGTGGGACTGTTCCCATCACCTTGCCCGATGCAGCCCCCCCAACATCACCCCTTATCCCGCACCCCGGCATCGGGCCCTGCACCGGGGATGCTGGCAGCCCGGTGACCATGGGATAGAGCAGCTGGGGACGACGGCAATCTCAGTTCCGAGGATGGGGATGAAGAGGGATCACTGCCCGGCCGGGCTCAACGCTGGAGAGGCGGGGGGGGGACCCGGCATCAGCACTCGCCTTCCCGGGAACCGATTTTGCTGCTCTCAGCAGCTTTGGCAGGGACGGCTCCTTTGCAGCGGATGCCGGGAAGAGAGATGTACCCAGAGCTGACGGCTGCCGCCTGGCCGGCAACACGCACGGAGCTTGCCTACAGCGCCCTTGGGCTGCCAGCGGGGCCCCACGGAGACCGCAGGGCTGGTGGGGACCAGGACCTACCCAGGCCCACACAGCACTACACAGCCCTGTCCCGAGAGCAGGGACCCGGCTAAAGATGGGCGTGTGCCCGCCTGGGCGGTGGGTGCAGCCCAGCTGGGAAGTGGGTGCCCCAGCTGTGTGGTGGGTGCACGGTAGCCCCCTCCCTGCCCTCTCCGAGAGCATCATGCACAGCATGCACCCAGCACCCACAGTGCCCAGTGCCCCGGCTCTGCCCAGCGAGCTGCACCCTGGCGTACCGGCAGCATCCCCGCACGGCACAGGCACCCTGGGGGGTAACGAGGGGGTCTCGGGGAAGACGGCCCCAGACGGCCCCAGCCAGCCCCACGGCACCAGGGTGGTGTGGGAGATGCGGGTGGGCGCTGGGGGACACGGGCTGGCGGGGGGTGATGCTCCCTGCAGCGGGGCCTGGATCCAGCCGGGCCCCAGCACCGCAGAACCGGGTGCCCTGCACTGGGGGCAGGACGGGCAGGGTGGGCAGCCGAGGGGTCCCACCGGAGAGAGCCACCCCCCACCCTAAGTCTGCAGCAATCCCAGCCCACCGGGGCAATCCCAGGCCGACGCACCGAGGCCCCCCAGGGATGTGGCACCCCCGGAACTTGGGGGATCCGGGGGTAGCGGGGCGGCGTGGGATGCTTGGTGCCTCCGCGGTCGCAGGCCTCGCCCTGCCGGGCAGCGGGACCGCCCGCTGTCGGGGCACCGGCGGCGCCGGTCGGGGAGCGGGGCCGGGCTGGGGGCGCCCCGATCCCCTCCCCATCTCCCGCCCCCCGGGCGCCCCTGCCCGCGACTCCGGCTCCAGACAATGGCGAGGGACCGGGGCCGGGCCCAGCATCGCGGACCCCTCGTTCCCGGCTCTCGCTGCCCGGCGGCGGGTCGCGCCGGGCCGTGCCGGGGGCTCCGGGGGCCGGCGGATCCCGGCGCTCGCACGTGCCGGCCCGACGCAGACAAAGCGGGGACCGCGCCCCGGCCCGGTGCGGCGGCGGAGGGCAGGTGCGGGCACCGGGGGCGGCGGGCCGGGCACACCCCCCGCCGCCCCGCCCGCCTTTGTGTGCCGG